TCGCACATCCTCCCCTCGCCTGATTTTCCCTATTTCTTGGGAGACATGTGTATTCAGGAATTTGAAGAACTCTATTTTCCTGAAACCATGTTTCTTGTATACATATCAAATCATAGCAATGTTTGTGTGTGTTCAAATACTTTATAAGTTCTTTTCCATGCCCTAGTAATCCCTGTGCATTCCATTGTAGTATGGAAAACAGTATCATCAATGTTTTAAGTATCGTTATCAACATTGTTAGCACTACTTATTTGCTGCAGCGATCTTTTCGCTGCGACCAGAACTAAATTATTTATTTCTTTAAGAGTTTTGCCCTCTGTGAGTGAGAGGATCAATTGACATATAAAGTCAATTATCTGATCATCATTTGCTGTAGCTATAAAGTTCGTGGTTACAGAAGGATTTTCTTTCTTTTCATTGTCTTTTTTTGAAGTGATTGTTGTGGAGTTTGTTGATGTTGTTGAAGGATTTTGTGGGATTTTTCGAGGGATTTTCGAAGGATGTTTTGAGGTTGTTCGAGGTGGTAAGACATTTTGAGTTTGTTGGGTGCTGGTGGTTACAGGAGGTACGTTTTGTGTGGTTGCAGCGATGGCATATGAGCCAGGTATCGTATCTCTTGTTTTAATTTGTGTGTTTTCTTGTTCCTCTTTCCTCATTTGGGAGGTTTGTGTGACAATGTTAGTTTGAGGGGTATTTTGTTTATTTGTCCATATTTGTGATGCTTGTGCATATGTGATTTTTTCTGTGATTTTGATGTGTTGTACTTGTTTAGCTTTTTTTGCTTGTGTGCAACCATTATATGCAGCAGAATGCTCGCCTCCGCAGTTTACACATTTCGGGGTGTCTTTTTGTAGATTGGAGAGAGAGGAGAGAAGCACTAATTTGTGCCTGCTAATGGAGATTGTTATTTACTTCTGGCAGATCACAATTCATGTAAGTTGATTTATACTGTTGGAACTGATGATTATTATATATATTTCATATTATTAATGGATGTCACATTTTATGAATTGCTGAAGATAAGATAGTGAAAGTTGAGGATTGTTGAACCATGTTGTATGTACACTGATATAATGACACTTTATGATAAATGTGATTAACTTATTTCATTTGCATTACATGTATCATGCTTTATAAAGTAGATTATTATGCTTGAATTTCTGATAATGATGAAATGATAATTACTCTGACAAATTAAATTAATTTTAAGTTTGTCTTTATATAGATTGAAACATGTTTCTGTTAAACAAAGTCAATTAAAAGAATGACTACCAAAGAGGATTTATATATATATATATATTTGAATGTAATTACATTGTGTCATGCAGTTTTCACAAAGTCATTATTGTGAAGTAAGAATTGTTATTTTATTGTTGTTACCTTTAGGGCTGCATGTGGTGAAATCTCCTTATTTGATGAACTACACTTTCTACAATAAGGTGGAAGCTTTGTTTATGATCAGGGGTCGGACGACAGCATATAGCGTTAGTGTTGCTTCGTCGTTATAGTATTGGCCGGTGAGTGGAGTTTGGCTCTATTGTGTATAGATATATATATGACCTAATATACATGCAATTGTAAACCGATTATTGCACGAAATGATGTAAAATGTACAATATTCTTCTGTCCTATATATGTTCTAATTAATTATGGCAACTATACTGCTACAGACAATTAAAACAGTTAAGCTACCTTTCATGATATTGCACATAATAAGAATTATTATTGAAAATTGAATAATGTATTAATTGATGACTCGTGTTGAGTTGGAAACTATTGCAATGTTTACACTTTAATTTGTTCTGTTTAATGGAAGAAAGCAAATGAAACCATGAATTGTTTGTTATTACATTTTGCTCCAGAGGCTATATGCTAATTATATTTCGTTCAAATTTTGTTCTTGTACAGGGGCTGTGTTTTCTTTGGTGAATAAATGCAAGACTAAAGTTTACGTTGGACTCCCTAGCTGTTGTCATTTCTGAATCTCAACAATCTACAAGTATCTTAAACAAATTCTCAAAAGAAATGTTTGATCCATCAAGAAAACAAACAGAATCATCTGCCAATAAAGAAATCTTAGCCTCTTGATTCATTACAGAAATGCCCTTAATGTCTTCATTTTGTCTGATCAGAAGAGCCATTATCTCAATGACAAATACGAACAGGTAAGGAGAAATGGGACATCCTTGAAATATTCCCTAACAATAGAATTGTTCGCTATGGTGTCTTCAAACCGGTATACAGTAAAGGAAGTTCTGAGAGGTACTCATCAGATGGGAAAGGACACTGGTACACGCATATCCTGCCGACGGTGGGGTGCGGGCGGCGTATTTTTTATTTACACGGCAGCGAGGGGAATTTCTCGATTAATTCCAATGAAACCGCTCGCGAAGAGTCTAGGACTAGACCAAATCGGGGTACGAGTACAGCAGTGTATTATAAAGGGAATTGTACTTAACATGTAGATCTAGAGAAGGAAACGATGAAAGACATCTAAAAGAAAACAAGAAAACAAAATAGTCTAGATGTCTTATGCAATAAACAGTGACGGCAGTATGATATTACATGCGACACCATGACACAGAAAAATCGAGAGCGTGAAGATATACATGCCCTCGGCCACGTACTAATAACACAGGGTGGTATTCTCGAAAGCGGCCAAAGTTAAACCTGGCCTAAGTTAAACCGTGGTTTAGTAAGGCCAGGCTTAACTTAGGCCGCTGACCTAAGTCATTTTCATTTCTCGAAAGGTGGCCTAACTGATCCATGGTTTAAACCTGGCTTAACTTAGTCCATGGATCATTCACCATGGTTACAGTTTCTGCACATGCTCAGTACCGAAGCTGCGACGTCACAATGCACTAAGACAATGGATGCGCGCAGTGTGGAGAGGATCGTTCGTTCGTTCGTTCGTGCAAAGAATATCAGGGAGTACATCATCTAGATAGGAAGATCCTTATTGAGCCAACAGATCGTCTCATCATCGAGCTCACGAAGTCCGGAAGCGCCGTGGGGGGATTTGTAGATCGGACAATCATCAATGACATGATCCATAGTTTGGATCTCTCCACAGGCGCAGTTTGGTGATGATTCAGCTCCAATTTTATGTAGGAAATATTGTGTGCGGCCAACTCCAGTTCTGACACGGTTTAGGTTGACCCAGGCTTTTCTTGGGAGGTCGCTGCCACTTGGTTTTGCACAGGGCTTTGGGATGAACTCCTTCAGGTTGGTAGTGGACGAATTCCACTGGTCTGACCAGCGTTTTGTTATCCAAGTGGCTAAGGTGGAGGGGGGTTCTCAGGCCGCAGCTCAGCAGCCTGTGTTGCAAAGTGTCTTCTAGGGAGACGCTGTCCTTCAAAGGCAGAGGGGGCAGGAACAAGGCATTTATCTCTGTCATGCTTTTGGGCAAGCTTAGCATACTGCGCATCTCGTCTGAGCTGAGCTGGTGGTATGCCAGATAATATTGGCAGGTTGCTGACTGGTGTTGCAGTGAGTGTTCCGCTGATTAGTCTCATAGCGTCATTGAGGACAACATCAACCTTGTGTACATGGGTGCTGTGGCTCCATGCAGGTGCAGCATACTCGGCAGTGGAGAAGGCAAGAGCTAGAGTGGAGGTGCGAAGGGTGGTGAAATTAGCTCCCCATCCGGTCCCTGCAAGCTTCTTTAGGAGAGACACTCTGGCTTGGGTCTTTTGGGCTGTGGCTTTGGCATGCTCGTGGAAGGTGAGGCTTCGGTCAAGAGTGACACCTAGGTACTTTGGATGCATCACCTCGACAACTTGAGCAATATGACGTCACAATGCACTAAGACAATGGGCTAAGACAATGGATGCGCGCTGAGTGTGGAGAGGATGCATCACCTCGACAACTTGAGCAATATGACGTCCAGGGACGGCGGAGCGACTTCCAAAGCGGGGGGCAGCACCAACAAAAAGGGCACTTGCTGGAATTGTATCATTGTTAAAAGGGAAATTATCAGAGATGAAAAGGGTCACAAATCGCACCTGAAAAGGGGCATTGAACATATTTTAAAAGGGGCACTTATAATATAGGAAATGTGCATTTGTTGAAATAAAAGGGCCACCGATAATTTTGTTAATAGGGGCACCTCTCAGATTTAAATAGGGCAATAATCAGAGGTGAAGGGGCACTTCTAAAAAGTGAAAAGGGGCACTTATTGCAAAGGAAAATGAAAACTTGTCAAAGGAAAAGGGGCGCGTGTCAAAATTAAAGGGGCGCTTATCAGAGGTGAAGAGGGGAAGGGGCACTTTTCCTATGGAAAAAGGGGCACTTCTTACAAAGTTAAAAGGGAACTTTCCTATATAAAAAGGGGCATTTGAAAAAAGGGGCACTGTCACCCCCCCCCCCAACTCTTTCTCCCTATCTCTCTCACACACACACTATCTCACATCATTGTTTATTTCTCTCACCATTAAATTGTTCTTTCTCATTTGGTTCCCTTTCTCTTTTACGCTATCTCTCTCTCTCTCTCTCGTTCGCTCTCTGTTCTCCCACTGTTCTATTTCAAGACTTTTTCCATGTATAATTCAATGAACCCAACAATATGCACACTTAAAATCAAAAGATATGAAAGGAATATTGTATATAACATATCAACAATTATGTTCAATTTATTTATTTTTCTTAAAACAGAAAAGATTGTAATTCATGATGAATACGATTATAAAATTGAAGGTCAAAATCAAATATTAAGCTCCAATAGCCTCATAATCTGCTACTTGAAACTATTAGAATTAAATGTTATGTATTTGTTACATTATATACCTTCTCCCATCATTTTTTTAAAACAAAGCATAGTCTACTTTTGAGCCGTGTTTCTTTTGCAGGGAATCTGTTATATCATGACTTGCACTATATTAAAACACATTACAAAACATAATTTCTTAAATGACTTAAAATCACAATTTTTCCAGTGAAACAGTAAACATCTGATGTACATAAAAACATCCTTATGAGTAATGGTTGCTTTGTGGTTCACACACACAACAAGGACATATCAGGCTTATTATCAATGGTTGCTTGTTTGTTACCATAGCTTCATGTTATGAGGATTATAATACAAAGGTTTTGATCCCCATGCAGTCACAGTTACAGCAGATGGAGTTTGGTTCATTGAATAGGCTAAGTAGAACTTCATAGTCCCTGCAAGTATGTCTGTTGTATGAAAAGAGAAAAGAATAAAAGGAAGCACATTGAAACCTATTTCTATTAAACATTAAATAGGTCTTGCATGTACATTGTGACCAAAGTGGACTTACATGCACATTGTGGTAAAAGTGGAGTGCATAATCAGTTACATGAAAGTATTGATGAAAAAATGTGAATGAACAAATGTACCTGGGCATACAAACAACAACTTATTCCTACAGCCTACCTCTCAGAAATTCAGCAGCTCAGTAGTTCTCCTTCCTCTCTCTGAATTTGTCTTAATCATCAGGTTATTTGCCTTCATTTATTTTACTGAAGAAGAACATCATCCTGAAACAAAAATAAAAAGGTTTAGACCTCATTAAAATACCAAAGATCTACTCCATTGATAATTGGTCTTAGTTATAGTGTCAATCATATTCTAACTTAAAAAAAACAACTAACTTTCATGTAGGCAGTGACTAGGCACCCCCTCCCCACTCAGTTACTAGTAATCATTGATTTACAGAATGACTACCGGTATCTCTTTTAAAGTCAAGAACAAACATACACATTCTTGCAGTACTATCTCATAAATGTGCTTGCACCAAGTTGTATTTGCCATGTCATGCCGTAAGAAAGCCAAGTTAGTCCCTTTCCTAAAATCAAGTCTATAGGTCTACATCTTACTTAGATAACACAGCCTGGAATGTAGATTTTACAAGGCCCTAATCGTTAGAGCCCAACTTTTCCATTTTAGTTCAATCTAACATTAGACCAGAGATTGTCTTTGTTTACGTTATCTCCCAAAATGAGCTTCGTGAAGGGGAAAAAAGTAAAATGAAAATTTACTGCACTGTACTGTACTGCAGTCTGTAGGTCTCTAAGTCTTATATGATCTAGAATTGTTAGTGGTAGGTTTGAGTTTTCTTCTGACCCAAATTTGAAAGTAGTTAATCAACTGTTGATTATTTGTGTCTTATTTTCAGAGATAGTTCCGCCCAAAAGTCTAGGCCAAGCTGTCACTGTCAGGAGTGACTGGTAGCCATGGCAATCAAGCTGAAGATATTAGCTCGTGCCGACGTAAAATGATAAAAGTTTGAGCGTAGATTGCACCTACATTCATCAGACAAAACAATTTTAAATCACTACATAATGTACCTTTAGACACATCTGCAGATTCATAAAATCAGCAGATCTTTTTAATAAAAATTGTATATACATTATTTAGTTTACAAAAGTAAGACGTTATTACAGCATTACTCACCAGCAGACTTTCCAAGAAAAACAGAGTATCTATTTTTCCTGTTCAGGAAATAACTGGTGTTGGGCCAACTGGCTTGGAGACGCTTTGTGGGTGCAATCAATAGCACCAACCATATTAACGCCAGGGAAATGGCAGTAATTATAAAACTCATGTTGGGTCTGCACTCTGCAGGACTGCCTCTCTTGTTGAAAGAATTGAGATGTATTGCTCCGATCTCCTGGCAATGGCTATTGAGATGGACTTCACAAGGCGGGACACAGTAGCTTGGGAGAGGCCTTCTTTTTTCATCCCCATGCATCAATTGGAAAGAACCTGAAATAGCAGAAAATCAAGATGAAAAATATGTTGATATTTGATAAGAAATTACAATTTCTCTTTCTCTCTAGTTTACTAATAGAGTTATAAGACTAAGCTAGGTCTACTGTAACATTATCAGCAAATGTATATGTCAAAAAAGGAAGCTTCTGTCCATTTCCTTTCAATTCCTATAAGACCTGTCAAGACTAGACTCTTATTGATGAAATTTAGATTTCTTGGGGAGGGGGGGGGGGGGGGTGGTTATGAAAATCATCATCATCCTGTAGAAAATTATCCCACCAACAGCCACAACTAGCACTGCAGCTCAGGCAGAGGTGTTACCAGACCGAAATTTCTGTCTTTTTCGTTCATTAGCCTCTGATTTGGGTAGGGTCGGCTCCTGAAAGAGATCCTACCCAAATCAGAGGCTAACGAACGAAAGAGACAGCCAGATCTAGATCTAGATAATTTAGGCCTAGGCCTAGATCTAGTGCTAGTCCACTTTCAGGCAACAGCGTCTCAAAAATCCACTATAAAAGTAGTTTCTACGTCTAGCAATGATAATTTTAAGGTGGTGTTAAGGTGGTATATGCGTACGAAAGTACAATAGTGCCCAGAAAAAAATTACCCGGTAAGAAATTGCTCAATCTCAGGAAACGAAAATGTTAACCGACAATTATTTGCACGTATGGGACTGGTCTGCGAACACTGTGAACATTTACCAAGTTTTCCCCAAATTTATTCAGTTAAAAGCATTTTAGATTATCACCAGACAGCAAAATGAAAGTAACAAAAATACTTTATTAGCTGGTGTAACTTTTATGAGCGCTTATCCATACAAAAGAGTGTAAATTGTTATCAAATATAGAAATTCAAATGCAAAACTTACCGTTCACTCTCCGCGGACAGTCGATTTAACTAAAAAGTGACGTCATGCGAAGTTAGGCCGAACTATGACTTATTTAAACCTGCCCCGCGGGCTCACCTCTGAGCGGCCTAAAGTTAGGCCAAACTATGACGTATTTAAGCCTGGCTTATCTTTAGGCCACCTTCGAGAATAGCAAAAAAGATAGTCCATGGTTTAAACCAGGTTTAGGCCACTGATTTAACTTAGGCCGCTTTCGAGAATACCACCCTAAGGTCCTTGTTTGAAATTTAGTTCCCCTCCCGCGCAAATCGTGGAAGCTTTTACATTTCATTAAATCATTAGAGAAAGAAGAGGGTTTTTTGTACCGTTCTCGACTCTTAATCCTCGTTTGAATTTAGTTCCCCAACCTCCTGCGCGAAGCGCGGAAGCTTTGACATTTCATTTAATTATTAGAGAAACAAGACGATTTGTTGTACCGTTCTCGAAAATAATTCTCGTCTGAATTAAGTTTCACCCCTCTCGCGCAAAGCGCGGAAGCTTTTACGTTTCATTAAATCATTGGAGAAAGGAAGAAGATGATTGGTGTTACCGTTCTCGAAAATAATCCTCGTCTGAATTCAGTTTACCCACCCCTCCCCCTCCCGGAAGCGTTATTTTTTTCTGCGGCAAAGATTGGGGTTAGGTGCGTGTTGAGCCTATGGGAAAGTTTAGGGGTAGGGTTAGGGTTAAATCAAGACCTTTTTTTTTTATTAAAAAAAGCCCCAATCTGTGCCGCAGAAAAAAATGACGTCTCCCGGAAGCTATTACGTTTCATTAAATCAGTAGAGAAACAATGCGATTGATTGTACCGTTCTCGAATCTTAAGCATCGTTTGAATTCAGTTTCCCCCCTGCTTTTACGTTTCATTAAATCATTAGAGAAAGAAATGCGATTCTCATTAACATTCTCGACTCTTAATCCTATTCTAAATTCAGTTCCCACACCGCCTCGCGCAAAGCGCGGAAGTTTTGACATTTCGTTGAATTTTTAGAGAAACAAGACGATTCGTTGTACCATTCTCGAAAATAATCCTCGTCTGAATTCAGTTTCCCCCTCCCGCGCGAAGCATGGAAGCTTTGACGTTTCATTAAATTATTAGAGAAAGAAGACGATTCGTTGTACCGTTCTCGAAAATAATCCTCGCCTGAATTCAGCCCCCTCCCCCTCCTTAGGGCCCTATGCGTGGTCCAGGGGGCAGAGCCCCCGGAAGCTCAGAGTTTTAGGCATTTGATTACGGTCAGATGAACATATTTTTATACCTTATTTGTGACACTGGCAGGACACTGATTGGCGTGAGGTCCAGCGGGCGGAGCCCCCAGAAGCCCAAGGGTTTTAGGCACTAAATAACGGTCAGATGAGTATCAAGGGGCCCGCCATAGGGCCCTTGGTTTGGTCCAGGGGGCGGAACCCCCGGAAGCTTAGGGTTTTTAGGCGTTTAATTATACGGTCAGATGAGCATATTTTAATACCTTATTTTGTTGAGACACTGGCAGTTAACTATTTTTTTCTTTCTTGCTCTCTTTCTTTCAATTTCTCTTTAATATACTTTTCCAAAAAAATTGGGGTGGGGGGGGGGGGGGGGGGGGGGGGGCGTGGAAGGGAGTTGGAGGCTCCCTATCCCCGCCGTTCCGCGGGCCCTGACATGTAGGCATCGTAAGAAGCATATTTCTTGCCTGGCTGTAAATTTAGGAATTTGTCATTTTACAACAAACAACAAACGCATAAAAAAGTATAATTTACTAATAAATGAGGACAAATCACGGAAAATTATGTAATTTCAGCATTATGTGTAAACTACCGTTATGGAATTAGAAATAAACCACGTTTAAATTGTTTCCCCCGAGCCCCCTCCCTGATCAGTACGCCAGTGCCCCCCCCCCCCGATCTACACTGATTTTTGTTGGCGGAAAATTTCCCCGGAAAACTACCAACAAGAACAATAATCACCACCCCCCCCCCCCCCCCCAAAAAAAAAAACCCAACAAAACAAATAAAACAAAACAAAACAAAACAACAACAACAACAACAACAACAACAAACAAACAAAAGTATATCCCCCGGGACAAACACTCCAAGAGGTCACTTAAACCCGGAAAATTACCCCCAACCCCGCCCTGAAGATCAGCCCCGGGACAGTCAACCCCCCCCCCCCTGTTTATTAAAGGGGAAATCCACCCTGATAACAAATTTGTTTTAATAAAAGCAAAACAATGTTGGGGGATAATGGTCGTCAAGGGTCGAGGGGGTGGGGGGATGATTGTCCAAGGAGTTATTTTTTGCCTCGGACGATGGCAGTCCTTGGGGGGGGGGTGGATTTCCGGGAGAGAACCATTTACTCTAATCCATAGTTTCGCATTTGATACTATACTTTTCCGTTTTAACAGGAGACGGTTGTGTGGTACTTTATACAAAGCCTAGGAGAAGTCGAGCATGATCATGTCAATCAACCCATTGCTTACTGGAACCTGGTGGTCCATCTGTTAAGGCTATGGGAATTAGATAATTCAGTAGTCAACGGGTTAACCTGTTTCCATCGTTTGTGTACCGAAGCAGGGTCCTGGATTGTAAGTAGGAGCTGCGTCTCAAAGGAATGAATAGCGGAATCCGTGTTTACAAGACGAGAGGATGTTGTTATTGTCAAGATGTTTCATGATTGAAGAGATGAATGCGTGCTGTAGCAACTTACAGGTTATTGTTGTAAGGGATATCGGCTAGAAATTCTGGTGTTCATAACCTAAATGTTTTAAATTGATGTACTGTTATTGTTTTCACTTGATGTTATTTTATGGTTGAATCAATAAATACAAATGACAATGATCGCTTTTAGATTTTACTAAAAATGCAAAAGAACACAAATGAAATAGTTATCTGAACTCCAAAACACGTCAATTCAGCACAACATGCTTAACGTAAACTGTATACATGCGCTGCGTGTGTGTCCATGAGAGTCTGTGTGGTGTGTGTTTCTGTGACACCGAATTATGCAGGCCCATTGACCAAACATTGTGAAAAGATGAAGAACAAAATACAAGGATTTAAATGGAATGTTTTGTCAAAAAACTGAAAATAGCAGTCCGAGAGTTGCATTACATTCACTTATACCATAAAGCACATGAAATACATAGCAATGTAAAAAAAATTATGACATAAACCTTAATACGATAGTTTATTAAAAGGGAGAATTAATAATACATATTATTATGAGAACAAAACAAGTATAACTAACATTAGATTTAATAAATACTGCTAGGAAATCTCATTTTTCTTATAATACTGAAACTTAATAATTAGAGAAACCTTGAAAAAAATAAAACCGGTAAAATATTATAAAAGTTCTTGAAGTATATATGAGGAAGAAGCATAACTTAAAGTTTAAAGCCACAAATAAACTTACAATATAGAGGTCTTTCATTTCGTATAGATTTCGTATAGAAGTTGGCGATTTCACAAGTTGTGTTAAATTCGAATCCTTAGAAATTTCCAAAAGAGGCTTTGTGTAATTTGAGAGCTTTCTTTGAAGTAGGTCACAATTTAAAGGTACTATGTCCCATTCGCAGGTCAAAAAATGAAAAGGTTAAATTCCAACAATACTTCTTTAGAACTTCCCTCAAAACGAAGGGTTTGAAAATGGTACGTGTTCATGAAAGTTATAATAATAATAATAATAATAATAAGATATTTGTATACCGCAAATTGCAAATTGCCTCTAAGCGGTTTAGAAGAAAAATAGCTGATAAGTAAAGGAAACAGAATTTGTATTACAAATTACATCAATTCAATTAACATTAAAAAATAAAAAATAATACATGTACATGATTACAAATCACTTGCAACCAAAATTCAAATAGTTCATAAATTAATAATATCCTACGTTAATCTACAAAAAAAAGAAAGAAAAAAAGGCAAAATGTCAAAAGGGCTATTCAGGAACAAGACTTAAAGATATATGTTTTTAGCATTGTTTTAAATGTATTTAAAGAGCTAGTATTGCGAATTTGAAGGGGGGAATTGTCCGAAAGAAATGCAGCTGCATAAACGAAAGAACGTTGACCGTATTGTGTGTATGGAATAGTTATGTAATCATTCATTTATACACTGCCGGTAAATTCTTTGATACACACGTGGAAGTATTCTTTTCTAGAGGGCAAACAAAAGGTGTTTATGAAGTGACCCCATCTTTTTGGGCCATGGTAATTCTGAAATACACAAAGTCAGACGTTTCGATGTGTAAAAGGCCTGTGAATATTTCCGGGGGGGGGGGGCGGGGGTCATTTGTACAAGTGCTATCTCCGTAGTGGCTTATCGGACTACATATATTTTAAAAGTCCAACAATATTCTGGTACAAAATTGTATTGGTTTGTTGATTCTGCAGTGTATTTTGGGTTGAAGAAATCATGAAATAATATGAAATGGATTATAGTACTTAAATCATGATAGAAATAAAGCCTCCTTAATTAATCAATATAGTTTTTTAAATATTTGACCTTGAAATTAGTATGCTTGATTTTAA